TATAATTCTTCACCTGCATGTTCTTTTGCGTTATCCTTGATCTTAAATAAAAATCATGCTTTTTTATAAATCTGATAACATTATATCATCTAGGGACACTTGCATTTGATATATTGTGCTTTGTACTTTATAGTAGTTATTTTAAAGTGTGTACTCACCGATTTTTTTTTTTTTTTTCCAAAACATGATTTTACAGAATAAAATGTATAAATTCTTCAATTGACAAATAGTTTAACTGCAATTTTATCTTTATTATATTATATTATATTACACACTCAGAAAAGTCTGTTTAAATAGGGTATGATGTACAGTATTAATATAGATATATTTACTGTATTTTTCACAGGTGTTTCACCTGTATTTTGAATTATGCATTGCATTGTGTTGTTTTTACGGTTAAAGGAAATAGCTTAGTAATGTCTCGGCCAAAAATGACAATTTTTCTACGGATTTTTTTTCTTGTAGTTTTAATTCTATTTTATTCTATTTTATTCTATTTTATTATATTCTATTCTGCCTGTCGTGCTTGAATATCTTTGACATTGTGCTCAGAAATCTGTCCGTCTCCCTGCGGCTTAGATATAAAGCTTTAGCGCAGATGTCCAGGAGAGCTTATTGTGCAACAAAATGAATAATCTCACTGTAATTCATTCAAATGGAGAGGTGAAATCTACTGAATAGACTGTGCCAAAACAATCTGAAATGATTTTTGGACTAAAATTGGCCAGTATTATACAAAGAATTTAAGTTTATGGATACAGCCGAACGTTTAGTCATCTGAGTCATTTCTGTTCTTTTGCAAATGTTTTGTTTTTTATGAAAGGTTTAGCAGGCTTTCCAAAATATGCTCTGGTTGAATTCAAAATTATGTGCAGTATTAGTTCAAAAATGTTGATTCATGTGAGTATCAATTGTGCGTTGATGTGAGTATTTCTAATATTTGTTTTTATAGCAACTCCATAAAGTTGGTGAATTTGTGCTCAATCTTTATAAGCACATGGCTGACGGCAGCGGGCTTCATACATTTGGTAAGTCAGTCGCCTCAGGAATGAACTGGATGGTGAAAAGCTACTGATGAATCATTCACAATAAGACCAAGATTGTGTATTGAGAAAGAGGAATAGTTCACCCCCCCCAAAAAAATAGCTTTTTAAAATTAAAGTTTCTTCATCAGATTTGGAGAAATGCTGATAAAAACATCACAATAATCCACAAGTAATCCAACATCTGGAGAAGACAAATCCAGCATTAAGACGGTTTTAACTAAAATATGAGTCCGTAATCCATACTAACGCTTGCTCCAGCTGTTTGGACTCTCATTCTGACGGCACCCATTCACTGCTGAGCAAGTGATGCAATCCTACACTTCTCCAAACTTGATGAAGAAACAAACTCATCCTAATGATGAGGGTGAGGGTGGCACATTTTCAGCAATTCTTTTTTATTTTAGGGTGAACTATTCCTATAATAGGATCAGTTTTGATTTCATGTTAACAATTGCTTAGGTAAAGCTGACGTAGAAATACTGAGCCTGTTGGTGTGTTTTCAGGTGGAAAACTCAGGGGATCCTTGGGAAAACTTCCAAAATTCCCAACCGCTTTCCTACTGGGAGTGTGTGTACTTACTCATGGTAACCATGTCCACAGTGGGTTATGGAGATGTTTGTGCTAAAACAACCCTCGGACGCCTTTTCATGGTCTTCTTCATTCTCGGAGGATTGGTAAAAAGCCTAAATAAATAGAAGCAATCCCATAATAATTCACCCACAGCCTGCATTTCTGCCTCCAATTATCAGGTCCTTAATCATTGTATCCTTGACAACCAGAGCTGGAAAACGAACCCTACATTTAGCTTCAATCCAAATATTCAATCCAAACGTTCCCAGCTTCTGCTTGTCATGATGGAAAGATCTTCATGTGTTTTTGCTTGTACTGCATTGCGTGTTTTTGGTTAAGTAATTTTTCAAAAGTATGTCTATATTTCAAATGCTATATTTGTTGATTTCATGTGATAAGTGGAACCATCATTAGGGAGTACAAAGTAATTCTGTTTGTAGAAATCATGACTGACTGCGGTTTTAGACGACCCGACCCAATTTACCCCACCCCAACTCCAACAAACTCTATGAAGGGCTGAGATACACTCCGTCACGATGCCAACATTCATCATGCATACATATATGACTGTCTCAAATTAAAATAGTATTTTCATATTAATTATTATTAATATTATTATTATTCATTATAGAAATAAATACAAATATGTATATCAGTTAACGTGGATAAAATTGTATATAATTTTTTGTCAATATATTAAAACACATTAGTTTTAATATTAATATATATTTTTAAAGTTTATAAAGACAGATAGATTATAAAGATAGATATTAATTGTAGAATGAATTGCAGTGCTTTTCTAAAAAACATTTAGGACACTTTAGTGCACAGATCTTTTCGATTTGTCCCATTTACAGTATAATGATTAATTTTGTTAGTGGTCTTTTTGAAAGACAATTGACTGCTTATCTGAAAGTTTTAAGATCAGCTTATTGCCATAATGATTTTTTCCATATAAATAAAGTAATAAAATATTAATATTAAAACATTATTTTAATTAAAGTATTATTTATTTAATTAATTTATATTAATTTCAATTATTATTATTAATATTTTATATACAAATTTAACTATATAAACATAAACACAATTATATTAATTACAAAAAATATTTTAAAATATTAAAAAAATATTAAAATGTACATTTTATTATTAATAATTTTTCATAAAGTCTGTAAAGAGAAATAGATTTAGCTATTAATTGTATTATGTAAAGTAATGCTTTTAGAAAACATTTTCTACATAAAATAAATCAAGGACACATTAATTCACAGATCATTCCAATTTGCCCCATTTATGATTCATGCGGTCAGTGTAATACAATAAATAAATAAATAAATTCCAATAAAAATCTGTGTTTCAAAGTGTTTTTGAAAGACAGTTCACTGCCTAATTATATAAATATACTAAAATAATTTTCATATTGTATTTTGTAAATATATTCAAATTAACATGAATTTTAATAGTAATCATTTTTCATAAAGTTGGTAAATAAATAGCTTGTAATGTTTGAGATCTGCAGTCTTTAGGAAGGCAGTTTTATGAACTCCTGTAATAATGTAAATGATGTAAAAGGTACAGTGCAGCAGTGTTACAGGTGACAGTCGTGCTCATATCAGCCCGGCGTAAGAGTTTGTTTGGACTAAACATGGCTCTTGAGGTTTCCTCCTTTACTTCACCGTTTTCCCTCTTAAAACAGCAGATCTGAGCCACATCTGTGGCTTTTCTTCTCTTCAACACTGATATCCCTTCAAACAGGGATATTTGTCAAACAGAATGCTTTTACTTTTATCCTAAAACCTTCCAGCCTCTAAATTCTGGGCAATGCATGCATACAAGCATTCTGACACTCAATCTGTCTGCATTTTAAAGCTCCATTATTTAACACTTAAAGGGATAGTTTGTACTAAAATGATCATTCTGTCATCGTTTACTCAGCCTCATGTCATTTCTTTCTCCGGTGGAACTCGAAAAGGTCAGTTTTAGGAACATCTTGGCTGCTTTTCCGTATAATGAAAGTGAACGGGGACCAAAGTTACAGTCCAAATGACTTGTTGTTCAGACAAGCGATCATATGACTTCAGAAATCAAGTCATCTTTATTTCTATAGCGCTTTATACAATACAGATAATAAATAAATAATAATACAACAGGAACATATGAGAATCAGTGATACAGACTTCTTCAAATATGAGACGGATTCTGCATTAATGCACAGATCTTTCCAATTTGCTCCATTTAAAATGATTAATTTTGTTGGTGTGATACAAACAAAATATATAACAACTATAAGTGTTTTTGAAAGACCACTACTTATTTATCTTATTGCCCTAATGATTTATTTTCATGTAAATAAAGTAATAAAATATTCATGTTGAAACATTGTTTTCATATTGATATTATATACAAATGTAATTATTTAAATATATGAAAAATAATTATATTCATTAATATGAATAAAATTAATTATATACAATATTTTATAAATAAAAATTAACATTCATTTTAATATTAATATTGATGTATTATGTATTGTATATTATGTACATTAATGCACAGATGCCACATGTATAATGATAAATTTGGTTGGTGTAATGCAATGTGTGTCTGTGTCTGTGTGTGTGTGTGTGTGTGTGTGAGTGTATGTGTGTGTGTGTGTGTGTGTGCGTGCGTGAGTGTGTGTGTGTGTGTGTGTGTGTGTGTGTGTGTGTGTGTGTGTGTGTGTGAGTGTGTGTGTGTGTGTGTGTGTGTGAGAGTGTGTGTGTGTGTGTGTGTGTGTGTGTGTGTGTGTGTGAGTGTGTGAAACAACTATCAGTGTTTTTTAAAGAAAATGTAATGCTTATCTGAATGTTTTAAGACCAACTTATTTCCATAATATTTTTTCATGTAAACTAATTAATAAAATATTAATAATAAAGCATTATTTTAATATAAATTTTTAAATACATGTAAAAATGTTGAATGTAAAAAATAAATTTGTATTCATTTAATGATATTTACAGCCCTAGTTCAGTTTAATAACTGTGTAAAGTTGATCAGTTTGTGAACCGAGTTCAATTCTCTACGTAAGATAATAGTGTCGTTATTCAGCTTGATTCAGTTCAGTTCAATAACACTGTCGATGTTGCAAAATTCATCCAATTCAGCTCAATTTTTGTCTTATCCATTAGTTGAAAACAGAAGACTTGAAAAACAGAGCACAAGTTGTATGGACTACTTTTATGATGCTTCTTTTTTTGTATTTTCAAAGCTCAGTCATCCATCATTTTCATTATATTGCAACGAGATGCTCATTGTTTATTTATAAATGCATCTTTTGTTTGCTGACGAAAGAAAGTCATATGGGTTTGTAATGACACAAGGGTGAGCAAACGTCTTAACTCTCATTTCGCCTGAACTATCCCTTCAAGGCTCTTATTTCTGATATGAAACCTCTCTTCTACTGAAGGTAGAAGCATTGGCAGACTTCTATTGTCCTGTGTCTCCTGTCTCCTCCTCCAGGCCATGTTTGCCAGCTACGTTCCTGAAATCATAGAGTTAATAGGAAACCGCAAGAAATATGGTGGTTCCTATAGTGCAGTAAATGGGAGAAAGTAAGTACCGCGGGTTGGGCTGCGCTCGCTCAGTGCGCTCGGCCCGTCTGCATGCTCGTCTCTCTCTCTGTCCCATGCATGTAGGCAATGTTTGCTCGCTACGTGCCTGAAATCGCTGCTCTCATCCTTAATCGGAAGAAATATGGAGGGAGTTATAACTCGACCCAAGGAAGAAAGTAAGTCAAAGGATTGAAGACGCCGAACCTCTAATGAATAGGTTCTTATTTTCTGCAGGGTCTGGCGTGGAGGAGCGCGGACTCTGACCTCACAGGAAGTCGCTGTAGTGCTTCCTGTGACGTCAGAGGTGCTTCTCCACAGGAAGTAGTATTATTATGAGGGTCTGGGGTCAAACGGCACAAATCATCTCATTGCTTGTCACGTCGTGTGAGTCGCTCATCGCTTGCTGATTAGTGCTACTTGTGACACTTGGGCTTCTGCGTGTAGCGGTGGTTGTACTGTTGTATGTTCATCGCAAAGCGGTATTTCGTTTGCTCTGTTTGGCTGTATGAACCTTTGCTTTGGAGATTCAAAACAAACAGAAAGAATTAATACTTTTTTTTTCATCAAGGATGCATTAAATTGAACAAAAGTGCCAGTAAAGGCATTTATAATGTTACGAAAGATTTCAATTTCAAATAAATGCTGTACTTTTGAACTTTCTGTTCATCTGTGAATCCTGAAAAATAAAATGCATCACAGTTTCCACAAAAATATTGTGCAGCACGACTGTTTTCAACATTGATAATAATCAGAAATGTTTCTCGAGCAGCAGATCAGCATATTATACTGATTTCTGAAGATCATGTGACACTGAAGACTGGAGGAATGATGCTGGAAATACAGCTGCGCATCACAGAAATACATTACAGTTTAACAGATATTCACATAGAAAACAGCTATTTTAAATTTAAATAATATTTCACAATTTCTACTGTATTTTTGATCAAATAAATGCAGCCTTGCTGAGCAGAAAAGACAAAAAACTGTACCCACCCCGATCTTTTGAATGATAGTAATATATACTGTTTTGACTTGCCTTTTTAGCCTTTTCAAACTTTCAAGTGTATGTAAATAAACTCGTTTTAAATAATACTAATAAGCCATTTTATGAGGTGTCACAAATATGCACATTTTTCACAGTATCAATCACAAAATTCAACTGTACATCACTGCAATGTTTTGTGTCAACTTATTTTAATGCCTAACTAAAACAGTGTATAAATTATGTATATGAAATATGTACTTGCATTACTTAATAATTAATTATCAGCAGTCATTTTGATGGATTATTCTTTTCCGACTGTCCGTGAAGCTTCTTATTGTTGTTTGTTAAGGTGCTCAGATGCTTTGGCTTTAAAGACCCCATGAAATCAAGACTGGTGGGTTTAGTCTATTAGCTTTGTGTTCATCTACAGCATATAATCATTTCAGCAGATTTAAGCATTTAAAATGAGTTGTCTTTCTCTTATGATATCACTTTAGATTATATTCCGATTTTAAACCCATTAAATGTTCACTAAAGTCTGAGTAGTGATTTTAAGGGGTCTTTAACTCATTACAGTGGCACTGCATTGCTGTTATTGCTTTAAACTCATTTGTTGTTGTTGTTTTTAAGTAAGCTTAGGACAAGGTTTGTTCTTGTTACAGTATACACCAATTCAATCCAGTTTCTCCTGAGAAAACCTACCCAGATTATCTTAAAACTAGCACATGCTCGGGGTTCATTTCAGTCTGGTTGTGCGTAATTGTAAGGCTAACTGTTGTGTTAAACGTGTGATCTGGGTGGTTTTCTCTCTTGTTGATCACCTCTGATGTTTTCTGATGAATACTCACCCGTTGCGTTTCTCAGGCATATAGTCGTCTGCGGTCACATCACGCTGGAGAGCGTCTCCAACTTCCTCAAAGACTTCCTACACAAGGACAGGGATGATGTCAATGTAGAAATAGTTTTTCTCCATAAGTAAGTATAATGGTGAAATTAAATGGAGTTTTCATCTGCACAAAAGATTCGTTGTGAAGAGCACTTCTGCTGCTCTGTTGAACGTCTTCGTCTCACAGTGCCGTTGTGTGTGTGTGTGTGTGTGTGTTTTCAGTATTTCCCCTAATCTTGAGCTGGAAGCCTTATTCAAGAGACACTTCACACAGGTGGAGTTTTACCAGGGATCCGTCCTCAACCCTCACGATCTCGCTCGAGTCAAGGTATGGCTTTGATCTACAGTCTGCAGGCTGCTCATAATCATAGAAAATCTGGAAATATCAGGGCAATATGTGTGTATTACCTGCACTGTAAAACAAATTTGTTTGGTGCCTTATTTTTTTTTAAGTAATCAGATTGTCTGTACAAATGAATTCAATTTAAATTATTTTAAACTGACTTTAAAAAATCTAATTAAATCTTGTAAGTAAATCTTGAAAAATCTATAAGTTGCTTTGACAAATTAGTGGAAAAAACGTTACCATGACTTATTGATCAAATCATTTTTACAGTGTAGAAATGTCACATAAATTTATATGATCATAAAAAATCATGGAAATTTATACTGTACATTTTTCTAGTTATGCTCTGTCTAAAATATTTAATCAGATATTGTTCTTGTGTAAAGCATGGTTATTATAGTAAACTAAAACCATTAAAATATTTTTGTTACATGAAATAAAATAAATGTTAACTGGCATAAAATAAAATAAAATATTAAAAAATATATATTTTATTCCAGCTAGTTGCCAAGGCAACATCGTTTTTGTTTAGTTTAAATTGGAAGAACTAAAACAACTAAAACTAAATAAACTAAAGCAAATTAATAAAAACTAATAGACATATTTAAAGAAAACAAAAACTATGACAAAAATATGCAGCAAAATTACTAAAACTTGAACTAAAATTAAAATTAAAACGAAATTTTCAAATAAAATCTAATTCAAAATATTAACAAAAAAATCTGATACTAAAATAAAACTACCAGTATTAAAAAAAAAAAAAAAAGAGAAGATAAAAACACCAACATTTACATTGACTAAAATTAAAGTAAAAAATAGAAAATCTAAAAATAAAATCTAATAAAAAAAATAACACTGGGGTAGAATACTAGCTAATTCATGAGTGAATCTTGTTTTTCATGAGTCATTTGAGTTGATTCACTAATTGGTCTGAATGATTTGCTAGCAATCGCTCTGATTTGTCTGAATGGTGTTAAACATCTTTATGCAGTAATAACAAGCATCTGAGCTCATGGAAATTCACTGGACAGAAATATGGGAGCGCTGCAAACAGCAATAATTTTAGCCCATTTACTTACATCCTGTAAAGTTCATTCACTTTTTAAAATTAGATCTGTGTTTTTTAAAATCTAATTTTTCTAGATTGAGTCGGCCGATGCCTGTCTGATCTTAGCCAATAAATACTGTGCAGATCCTGACGCTGAAGATGCATCCAATATCATGAGGTGGGACAGTGTGCCAACTTCATTTAAACCGCCCAAATAAACAAAATAATTATTGCAACTCAAAAATCAACAACTTTTGATGGATTTCAGAAGATTTAATGTGTGATGTGTGATTTTCTTAGGGTGATATCCATTAAAAACTACCATCCAAAGATCCGAATCATTACACAGATGCTGCAGTACCACAATAAGGTGAGTTTCCATATTGCCTTATATTACAGTCTTAAGTGCACTTGTAATGTTATTCAAACTGCCAGAATGTAGTTTTTCATGACCGTTGTCCCTTTTCATGTTCTTTAGATGCTTTCAAGCTGTTTCTCCTGTAACTGTACTGTTTTCAGTAAATGTTCTGGATGAATTAAGGAGGGAGCTTTGAGTTGTGGAATTTCAAGTATGTCACAATCTTATGTCAAAAGAGTTATAAGGCCTTGAATGCATGTGCTTTCTGTCCTCGTCTTCTCCAGGCTCATCTTCTCAACATCCCGAGCTGGAACTGGAAGGAAGGCGATGACGCCATCTGCCTCGCCGAGCTGAAGCTGGGCTTCATCGCCCAGAGCTGCCTGGCACAGGGTCTGTCCACCATGCTGGCTAACCTCTTCTCCATGAGGTCCTACATCAAGGTCAGTCCACACATGAACAGCTGGATCATTACCTTTTGAATCCTGAGCATGAAACTCACAACTTTCTTTCGTTTAGATTGAAGAAGACACGTGGCAGAAGTATTATTTAGAGGGAGTAGCCAATGAAATGTACACGGAGTATCTGTCCAGTGCTTTCGTGGGTTTGTCCTTCCCCACCATTTGTGAGTAAGTATGATGGGTGCGGTTATTTCCACTCTTTTCCAAATGTTAGTATAAGAGTAAATTCATTAAAACTATGAAATAGCACAAATTGAAGTATGGGAATGATGTAGTGAAATGCAAACAATATTTGAGCGACGCTGCACTTTGAAAAAAAAGTTTGAAATTCACATGACTACAAAACTGCATATAAGCAGAAGTTTCAAGTTTGAGAACATGAGAGACAAATTCAAATGTGTCCAAACTTTTGACAGGTTTTGTGTCTTTCTTGATTGTTCGGATACGTTTCTGGATAATTTGGCTGTAAAGTTGCTGATGTAAATAGATATAAATGAGATAAAGAAATAAGGAAACAGATGTCTAATAAATGTGAATATCTATTTTGTGTAATTTAGTTTTAATTGATCTTTTGTTTCTCTGCAGGCTCTGCTACGTGAAACTGAAACTCCTGCTGATCGCGATTGAATATAAATCAGACCAGAGAGAGTGCAGGTCAGTCTGATCTTCATTAAAAACATTTATAGTCCTAAAGATCCAGCATCCTGACAGCAATACATACTCTTGACTCAATTACTATTATATATATATATATATTTTAATATTTTGAATTAGATTTTTTATAACAACGTTTTTATATGTTGTTTTCACTTTAATTTTAGTTCAATTTTATTCATTTTGTTGTTTATATTTTTTAATTAATGTCTATATAGTTTTTTTTTATTTTAGTTTATTTAGTTTTAGTTATTTTAGTACTTAAAGTTAAAATAAACAAAATGAGAAATGTTGATCTAACTAAATATATATATATATATATATATATATATATATATATATATATTTATATATAAATGTTTCTTTAATATTTTCACATATAGTTAACAATAATAACAGTGTTTAAGTTTTTGTTAACATTTGTCTAAAGTAACAAAAATGTTTTTATGGTTTTACTTTGAGTGTTAATTAACGATAATAGCCCTGCTGAAATGATTAACGTGTTGTTTAGTGTGCCCTTTATCCTGCATTTACTGGTTTGTCTCACTTTGCTGCTGTTTGTGTGTTTGTTTCACACAGGGGTGGAAAATGGTATGAAATTATAAGGTTTCATTTGGTGTGGTCACATCATGCCAAATTCTCTTGAAAATGTACTTGCCATATTTGCCTGAAACATTCCTGAATGTTTTAGGGTCTTTTGTCCATGAACGTTTTTTGCGCTCGGTTAAATGTTGAGACTGTACTGTAAAAGGCTTTTAGTCAAGACAGTACTGTATATGTGTAGATTTTCAAGGGATGCATTTATTTAGTTTCTGTTCTTCTGGTCGAGCTGTGTGTGTAATGTGACACTGAAAACAGCGGTGACGGTATCTGCTACTGCCTTTCTGAACATGTTTAATGCTTTTACTGTGAACAAATGTTTTATTTTCTGTAGTGACACACTTATGAAATGAAACATGCTGGATGTTTTATGGATAGTTCACGCAAAAATGAAATGTCTATCGTCATTTACTCACCCTAATGTCGTTCCAAACCTGTATGACTTTAATCCGTGAAACACATATAAAGGAGATGTTTGGCACAATGTTATTTTCCATACAATGACAGTGGAAGAAGACAGACACTATCAAGCTCCACAAATGACAAAACACCACTGAACCATCCTAAAGTATGACTTGTTTTCAAACAATCAAATTTCATTTGTTTTATGTTGAATTAAAATGCACCTTTAAAAACATCATTTGATTTCCTTGATTGCAAACGGCATGAGGCTGATCGTGATGCAGCTTGAAAAACTTAATAATAAATGAGATAAGAGATTTGCAGTGGAAGGGAAAATGATTAGTAAAATTGTTCCTTTCACAAAGCTGTGGTATTACTAAGGCATTTTGCTAAACATCTCCTTTTCTGTTCCATGGAAGAAAATAAGTCATATGTTTCTAGAATGATATGAGAGTGGAAATGGTGAAAGAAATGTCAGTTTTGGTGTCAACTCTTCCATGCTTGCATGTCTGTTAACCAAGTAAACTAATACTTTGTGTTTGCATGCAAATGTCGTCCTGAAATGTTTAAAATAGATTATTTTAGTTCAGACATGACATAATAACCTTCATCATAAAAAACAGATACAAACAGTAGTTTTACTAAATTTAATTTAATTAAAAAAAAAACATTTTAGTAAATGCATGCCGTCATTAAAGGGGTCATATGATGCTTTTTTAAAGATCATTATTTTGTGTATTTGGTGTAACAGAATATGTTGACATGCTTTAATGTTCAAAAAACACATTATTTTTCAAATACTGTACATTATTGTAGGTCCTCTATGCCCCGCCTCTCTCAAACGCTTAGTTTTCAACAAAGCCCCCTCCTTCCGACAAGCGCAGTCTGCTCTGATTGGCCAGCTGACCCAGTGCATTGTGATTGGCCGAACACCGCAAGCACTCGTCGGAAATGTAACGCCCCTTACCATAATCGCGAGCTTCATCTTTCAAAATAAATGTAAAGACAGCCTGAAAGGGGAACAGAGTCGCGTGACAGACACAGTGATGAAGCTGGTATGTGTTTGCAGTACACAAGCCACGGTTAAGACAGCTGACTCCACTTTGATGTGACACTCTCTCTCTCTCTCTCACACACCCACACATACGCGTGCGCGCGCGCACACACACACACACACACACAATGCGCAAAACTCCGCATTTGAACAGTCAATAGCAAATACTTAAACTAATAACAAAACAGTAGCTGATTCAGAAGCGCCAGATTGTCATAGCAAAGTCAGAATGACCTCCTCTCCTAGGTTCACGAAACGGTCGTCCATAAAATGCATTGCTGTTCTGTTGTAAGTCATCTTAAAGATTCCTAAATGCATCTACTTCCGGAAGGCCAAATAAAGTGCTTTTGCTTTCACCTAGAAACACACAGCGTCTCCCTGACATGCTGCTTCAACACTAACTGCGGTTACTGAAACCACGCCTTCTTTCTCTGCATGCACATTTGGGCGGCATTATGCAAATATTTCCACATAGTGATGTAGATATGTGGGGGCATGTTAGAACGAGCTGTTTTGGGGGGGGGGGTGTCAGAGTCTTAACTTTGATAAAGAATATCTCTTTGGTTTTGAGACTTTAGTCTTTGCAACTTCAGGGATCTTATCTATGCACAATCAGCTTGTAACACTCCAAAGAGAAAGAAAAACTTGAAATCACGTCATATGACCCTTTTAACATTAAAATGAAATGCGATGCTTCTTTTTGTGTTCTGGGTGATTTTGGCATTACTGTACAAACTCTTTATGTATTTAATGCCTCTTTTGGGTTGTTTTTTTTCTTCTTTAGATTTTCGTCAGGTGTTTTCATCTGTATTTGAATGTTTGATGGTTTACATAGATTTATGGTTAATTTTTAAGCGTGTCCACATCGTGGCACAAGCTGTCCCGTCTCCATAAGTGCAGAAATGATGATTTGGAGGGCAGTGTTTCAGAACTCATTCTGTGGATTGTGAGTGTTGTTTGTGTTTCACAGCACGCTGATTAACCCGGGCAATCATGTGAAGATGCAGGAGGGAACACTGGGCTTCTTCATCGCCAGTGATGCCAAAGAGGTGAAGAGGTGAGGAGATCAATGAGTTTGTGTTGTGCTATTCTCTACATATCCAGCAATAGATTGACATCATATCAGTCATATGTTGTGTGGATGATTTGAATAAGATCATATTTTTCCACTAGGGCACTTTTCTACTGTAAAGCTTGTCATGATGACATTACAGACCCAAAACGGATCAAAAAGTGTGGATGCAAACGGAGTAAGTTACCATGAGAACATTTATTAATAATTGCCTTACATTCACATTTTTACATAAATATATTAAATATAATTATATTTATAAATTTTATTAGGTGTATTTCATATCACATTTCAGATTACCTAATAATAATAAAAAAAATATTTTAACATTTATTAGTAATTAAATTATTTCACAGAGAATGTTGTGGGATCAGGAATCATTAAACTGGATTTGTTGTGAGGGTTTTACATTGCACTTTACCACAATTTTCCCCACAGCTAGCAAATAATGATTTAGATATAGAACAAGAACTCTCAAGAATTCACGTGTGGAGGAGTTTGTGAATGACATCTCTACCGAGGCTGTTTTATCAATATCACTGCACCGCCTGGCCACATTATCGACCTTTTTGGCTTTTTCCTCCACCTGATACTTTTAAAATACATCAAAAACATTTCGTTAGTAATTGACACATTTCACATTCTCCCTTTTTCTTGCTGCCCTGGATCTGTGATAATTTCCCTCACCCTCTGATAGTGTTGTATTGTGAGTAATGACAGCCTTCATCTGTAAATGCAGATTTGTACTGTAGCCTGCTGCATGTGTGAATGTAAAACTACATCTTCCATCAACCCACTGTCCTCCACCACATCATCAGCAGGAGACAGCTTGACTTTTCACTGTTCTAACAGGCTCCTAACAGCACTTGGGCTTTTCTGAGGATTATTCTGTTTTGAGTTTAGATATCACCCCATATGTTTTTTAATTTTTAAATTTGTAAGAATAGAAATTTGTGTAATTTATGAGGTAAAATGTTATGTTTTGCATAATTTATGGGGTAAAAATACTCTTGTATTTTATATACCATGGCAGGACACGTTGATATATTTTCTCATTCACCTCCATGCATTTCCATGCTTTACTTGCATCTCTAAAATACAGTATTCCCAAGAATATATAAAAAAATTAAAACAGCATTGGAGCATTTGAACTGGTATGTTGTTGTTGAAAAATACAACAGATTTTACTATATAACAGAAACGTATATAACTTGATTACAAACATGTTTTTCTGAAGGTGTTCCTCAGGGCTCTATACTTGGCCCGTTGTAGTTTCCAGATGTCCAGCTTCTGTTAGTGAAATAATGCTCCCATCCATTAACATGCTTCTCCTCCTCCTCCTCTCCCCTCATCCACCCCATGACCCCAGCCAAGAAGTCCGCCTACAAGAGAATGCGTCTGGCATGTTGTGTAGCTTGCGGTGGGGCAGAACATGGCTGCTCGTGCATGTCAGACAGTGTGGCTAGTAACACGAAGGTTCTGCACCATGGCTTCCCCTTCTCTCCCGTGTCTCTGTATGATAACACGACCACTTTACGCTCGTGTAAGTGAACGCCTCCCCTGTGGCACCCGTGCCGAGTGCCCGTATAGTCATCTGTACCCGCTACCTGTGTATGTGCCATCTGGCTGGTGCAGTGCCATGTAGTGGTGGCATCTGATGTGGTGAAGACTGCTGTAAGCCCATGAATGTATCTGTGTGGTAGACTTGGTCTCCTGCATGCTGTTTGTGTGAATTGTAATGATGCAGTTTAGTAGTTAAGTTTTGTGATTCATTGAATCTTCATTGTAATGTTTTATTTTACATTCGGCTATGTACAGTGGTCTTTATCTGACATGTCCTTTAAACATAGTTTGTGTTTTATGCTAATAATCTAGATGTTGGATATAGTGATTGGTATTACTTACACTTATAGGAAAATGGCTATACTGTATAGGAGAATTATACATAGGAGAATTACATGTTGTAAATACACACAGTATTTTTCATTTGTATTGGAGGTTGAGAGCATTGATATGTAAAAGCTTATACCAGCCTAAGGTAATTATCTGGTGTCCCAGCCTGGCCAAGCTGGTTAGATTGGTCTGGTTTGATGGTTTTAGGGGCACTTTGGGTCAGCTGGTCAGGCTAGGAGACTAGTTAAGTTAAGTTTTTGTGCTCACTGGGTGGTTGAAGATCAAAATGATTAATAGACATTTATTTCCATTTTCTTTCTCACTGGTTCATCATTTCATTGCTCCATGTGTCTCACTTTAACCTCATTTTGTCTTTGCATTTTCTCAGCTAAAAGTAACTATAACGGATACATCAAATCAAGTAAGTCTTCTTCTTCCCCATTTTTACTTATTTGTTTCTTAACCGTCTGCTCTTTCTTCGTCACTTCCTTCATTCTTCTCTTCATGTTCTGCTCATCCAAACCTCAGTGATTACAAACATTTAATGTGATTTGGTCTGATGTATGTGTGCAAATTAAGGTGCAGAAGGATTATATACAGAAGCCCCCCAAAAAGTATTTGGACAACTAAGACATACATAAATATGTAATTGCATCAGATAATATATCAAAGCAAGTGCCATTCAAAATATTGAGAAATAACTTTTTTGCTCATTGCTCATTAATAATAAGTGGCTGTATGCAGTCAGCTCACACAGGAAGTAAGTGTCCAAATACTTTTTGCAGTCTGTGTATATCACTGTATCTGAATATCATGAATCACTGCAGACGCTTGCTCTCATTCAACACTAGGTGGTACAGCTGCATTGCAGTTCTGATAATGTGGAGCCTGAACTTTAGAAACGATTTCACTGCTTTGGCTTTCATTTGTTTTTGTTGTTTTCAAAGCATTTGTGAAGTTGTGTTTTTTCATGTTAAATTATGCAGGATATGTCAGCTAATGGTGCTGTCAGCAATTTTAGTTTAGGAGTTTAGTTTATTATGCATAAAATATTGCACTACAACCTGACAGAAATCACTGAAATAAGGATCCTGAGAAAATGCAGCTGTCTTGGTGACTGTGGAGGATCAATAATAAATCAATATATAATTAAATAATTTTAATTATTAAGTCATTTTTTTTCATATATATTTGTTAATAAAATGAATCAATATAAAAACAAATGCACTGGATTTAAATCTGGATTTATTTGTTCCTTTAAAATATTAAATAAAATCTAAATATAAAATACAATTAAATATAAAAAATATATATTTTATATAAAAATATAATATTTAATAAAAATATATAAAATATTTTTTAAAAAAATTGTATAAGTTTTAAAACAATTTAACAACACTTTAAACTGTATTACAACACCTTAATATTAAAGTTGTTGGTCAAGACGGCAATGTTATTAAAAATATTTTCCATAAAAAACACTTTTAAACATAATTTCCAAAATAATAGTAATAAAATAATAAATCATTCATATGCTAAGGACAGTAAAAATGTCCAATGAAATGCATGTTATTTTTTTTACAGATTTGGCTGATTCTGTCCACCGCCTGATTATGAATGTTTCTTGTCTGACAGTAAACGATGAGCTCAATCCAACATTCCTGCCCCAGAATCCCAAACCCACCCTAATGCGAGTTCAGTGTGCAGTGAGAGCGCCTTCTGCTGTCCCGGCCATCCGTGTGTCAGTGCCTTTAGTAAATAACCGTAAAGGCAGTCTGCTGTCACCGGCTGCCTCATACCTGCACAGACTCAGTCTGGCCGGCTCTAGAGAGCTGTATCAGAGCAGCCGCGCTGGCTCAGGAGCCGCCGATGCCACCCGCCTGCATCGGGCCTGTAGTCTGCCCGTTAAATACAGATATCATTCCAACCACGGCTCCACCTCTACCATCAGCCCGCACACGCTCTGTAAGACTCGGCCTGCCATTGTGGGAAACGCATGAGGACTAGTGGAGTTCAGAAATACTAAAACCATCCTGAACCGCGATGTGAAAACAACAAAATTTCAAGGTGGAAAAAAAAAAGGTCTTCGATCCTTCCTAAGAGTGCTAAGATTTTTTTTCTCCCTTCAAAAAACTTTTATTCTGAAGAGAGAAAAAGTTTTTTGAGAGAGAAGAATTTTTTTTTTGAAGAGAATTTTTTTTAATGAGAAAAAAGTTTTGAAGAGTAAAAAAAAAGGTATTTTTAAGAGAATTTGTTTAAAGGGAAAACGTTTTTTAATGAGAGAAAAAAAGTATCAAGATACAAAATATTCATAAACAAGGAATAGGAAGGATCTAAGACACTATTTTCTTCCACATTGAATATATATATATATATATTTTTCCTGTTGCAGTTCAGGCCTTTCATAATATTGCATTAATTAATGAAAAATATAATTTTTTTTAATGAGAAAAAAGTTTTGAAGAGTAAAAAAAAAGGTATTTTTAAGAGAATTTGTTTAAAGGGAAAACGTTTTTTAATGAGAGAAAAAAAGTATCAAGATACAAAATATTCATAAACAAGGAATAGGAAGGATCTAAGACACTATTTTCTTCCACATTGAATATATATATATATATTTTTCCTGTTGCAGTTCAGGCCTTTCATAATATTGCATTAATTAATGAAAAATACTAAATCAGTTTTTATATTTGGTTTAGCACACACACATACACACACACACACACACACACACAAACTGATCAGTTTTTTTATAGTGTGAAGCTGCAAGCTGAAAAATTGACACAAAAAACAAGTTGATAATATATAGTATAACCCACCCAAATGAAAATATGTGGAACAAAATTATGATTGTACCTTAATAAAATTCATTAATTTGAAAAATGCATAATACAATTATATATATTGTTGCAAAACAACTCATTTTGTAGTTTTCAGTTAATAGTAAAGCTAAACTAAAATAACGCTGTATACATTTTTAAGAAAAATACAACTACCCATTTTTAATGAAGTAATGCAAAATACAGTTTCTTGGCAGATAAGCAATATGGTAAAAATGTACTTGAAGCCTTTATATATAATGCATTAATAAAAAAAAGAATTACAACTATTTTAAATTATGCCTTGAAATGCAATTTAAAATGCATTGTGTAATCCAATGAATAATTGTAACCACGGTTATAATACTTATCTATTAATTGTTACACCTTTGAAAAGTATAATGCAGTAAAACACATGGCAATCAAGGAATCTGCAGATATTAAAATGCATTTTAATTTTTGTTACAATTATTTATGAAAAGATGCAATGCATCGCAATACCTTTATAATGCATTATACACAAAGACTTCCAAGTAAAGTTGACCAGAAATGTATTACTGGCATTGATCAGAATGAGAACAGTTAGTCAAACTTCACCCAGAATTCCCACTCTTTCTCTCTCCTTGTGCTTCATCCCTTCTGTATGCGTCTCACAGCTGTGTGATTGTATGCTTTGAAGTGTTTTAATGGTTTGTGACTGTTGTTTGGTAACATATGTAGTTTGGTTGCGTCTCAAACTGTGGCTGGTGTTTCAGTAGTAGAGGAGGAGCAGCAGTCGGCTCTGTCGCCCAAGAAAAAACAGCGTAACGGAGGGATGAGAACGTCGCCCACATGCTCACCCAAAATCATCAGGTAAGAGCACAACCGTCTGTTTCTGTTTCTGCAGAACTCACTTCTATGAATGCTAGTGAAATAATGCCATATTGCTCATAGTAGTGAGTTTTGCATGAGAAAACCCTTCACGTTTAGCGTCTCTATCCTCTCTCATGCTCACTAAACGTGTGACACGGCCCTCGGCTCCAGCCAATCAGAGGCCGCGGTCGGTCTGTGTCGCCTCAGGCTGTGGTTCTCTTACTGCAGTCCGACGCGCCGCCTGCTTTTACCTGCCTCTTATCCTGTCCTCCAGAATTACTGATCTATTTATTGATTTTGACTGATGAAAGAGCTGCTAGTGAATTAATAAAAGCCATTAATACTCAATGAAGGAATGAGAATAATATCTTCTGAATACTTTGATCAGGACAGCAGGCAGGAATACAGGAATTAAATTATAAATGCAACGACAGTAATTAATAACAAGTGGGATTTAGAGGGAAAAATTACTCATATATTTATTTTATATATAATATACATTTAGATCTAATGTTTTATATCTATATACGTGTATATGTATTTATTTATTATATTTTATTGGTATTTTAATTATTTTATAAACACACACACACACACACACATATATATATATATATATATGAGAACAGAGATCTCTTGGGGATTTCATAGCCTTTCTGTGTATTACATACATTCATAAGAAACACTGTGATGTAACCTAAATATTCTCTCATCTTGTGTATTCTTTTGCTGCAATATATACACACACACACACGTATAGATATTGTATCCATAAAATTCTATACAAAATTAGACTTACAAAATTATATACTCAATCTGAGGTCAATATCCTAGTTACATTATCACTATACATTATTACTTTTATTAGCCTTATTGTCAGATGTATATAGCTGCAATAACAAACTCATTTTAATATGAAGCCAATAAGATCAATGTTCTATTATTATATCTAGATCAAAAGATGTAATATATATATACACACTATTAGTCAAAAGTTTGGGATCAGTAAGACTTGTAATGTTTTTTAAAGAAGTCTCTTCTGCTCATCAAGGCTGTGTTTATTTGATCAAAAATACTGGAAAAAAAACAATAATCTTGCAAAATGTTATTACAATATAAAATAATGGTTTCTATTTTAATATCTTGTAAAATATAATTTATTTCTGTGATCAAAGCTGTATTTTCAGCATCATTACTCCAGTATAAAGTGTCACGTGATCTTCAGAAATCAGTATAATATGCTGATTTATTATTAGAATTATCAACAGTTGTGCTGACAAATATGTTTTTGGAAACTGCGATACTTTTCAGGATTCTTTGATGAATAAAAAGTTAAAAAGAACAACAAATAAAAAATTTTTCTAACAATATAAATTTATATATATATAAATAATATTGCATATTATATAATTATATAATATTATAATATTATTTAATTATAAACATATATAATATTGGCCAATATCCTAGTTATAGTATCACTATACATTATACAGTAGTCTTATTTTTTTTTTTTGCTTTTATTATTATTTTAATTGTTTTTTGTAATGAATTGTGTGTGTGTGTGTGTGAGTGTGTCTGTGTCAGGTCTGATCCACATGCTGCTATAGGACCCAAATGAGACACACTCACTCTTTCCTGAGTGCTATGAGCCGATCGGCCAGATATTGATTTTGTGCTGGCGAGGATGGTATGAATGTGTTCAGCGCTGACAGATCAAGCCCCTGAGAGGATCGGATAGAGCGCGTTTGCTGAAACACTAACCGTATTCAGTGTGAGAGATTGAGTCTTCATGAATGTGCTGTCAGTGAAGGGCTGATCGAGTCCAGTCTGATAAAACTCAGATCACATTCATCCGGATCGCCTCACACTGAACGTCACGAAAACATGCCCTGCTCACATTTCACTTGCAAATCAGAAAAATGGGAATTATATAAAGAAGATTACTTTTTTTAGAACCATTGCATTGCTTTCTGCATTGTGATATTATTTGAACATTTTTAAATGAAAAAGTAAAATCTGAATGAGATTTAAATATATATATATATTAATTTCTATAAATTCATTATAATGTAATTTAAAAAAATAATAATACTTTTTTTTTAATCCTAATCAAAAATTAAGTTTTGATATATTTGCGGTAGGAAATGTACAAAATATCTTCATGGAACATGATCTTTACTTAATATCCTAATGATTTTTTGGCATAAAAGAGAAATGTATAATTTTGACCCATACAATGTATTGTTGGCTATTGCTACAAATATCCCCCAGCGACTTAACACTGCTTTTGTGCTGCAGGCTCACATTTATATTTTTAATTTAGTTAGTTTTAGTCATTTACTAATTAAACTTAAAAAATGTTGCCTCTGCAACTATCTGAAAAAGTAATTTTGTTGCGTGTTTTTGTCAGTTTTATTACTTTTTTCCCCCAATTCTATTTTGTATTCTTATTTCAGTTTTAGTGTAGTTGTTTTCAGTTTTAGTAATTTTAGTACTTAAACCAAACAAAAATCACAAATGTTGCCTTTGCAACTGACTGAAATAAAGTACAACTGAAAGTAGTTTTAGTATTTTTGTTGTGTTTTTGTCCGTTTTATTACTTTAAAATATTTATTTAGTTTTTATTATTTTTTTATTTCCATTTTAGTTTCAGTATTTTTAGTTAAGTTTATTTCTTCAACTTAAACTAAACAAAAATGAGAAATATTCATTTCATTTCTGAAATATTTACTTAAAGTATAACCGAAAGTAGTTTCAGTAATTTTGTGGTGTTTTTTTTCTGTTTTTTTTTTATATCTGTTTATTTTTTATTCTTTTTATTTTATTTTTATATAAATTTCTATAAATAATAGATTTATTTCAGTTAACATTTCAATGAATGTAATTTTTTTAATAGAGTAGATAATCACTTGAAAATTGGAGCTGGGGAAGTTGTAGTTAGCAATAACAACAGTGTGCCAGACTAGTGTTTGTGACTAGTTTTATGGTCTGTAGAGGTCAGTCATTGATTTATTGGCCTGTATTTCTCCCTCAGACTCGCAGTGAGGCAGCGATGACGGTTTTGAGCGGTCACGTGGTGGTTTGTATATTCGGCGATGTAAAGTCGGCTCTGATCGGTCTGCGGAACCTGGTGATGCCTCTGAGAGCCAGTAACTTCCACTATCACGAGCTGAAGCCCATCGTGTTCGTGGGCTCTCTGGAGTATCTGAAGAGAGAGTGGGAGACGCTACACAACTTCCCCAAGGTCTCCATCTTACCCGTGAGTGGACGTCTGTCTCTCTGTTTAACCCGTGATGCTGTATCAGCGGCGCATTTCTGACGTGTGTCTCCTGTTTAGGGAACTCCACTGAGTCGGGCCGATCTGAGAGCCGTCAACATCAACTTGTGTGACATGTGCGTCATCCTTTCAGCCAATCAGAACAACATCGACGACGCCTCTCTGCAGGATAAGGAGTGTATTCTGGCATCTCTCAACATCAAGTCCATGCAGTTTGATGACAGTATTGGACTCCTGCAGGCCAACTCTCAAGGTAAAGACAGGACCGTCTCGTCCCCGGCTCAGATTTTTTATTTTTTCTGGTGAAAGAAATACACAAATGAAGAATAAAGCCAAAATATTAAATGTCATGGGTGTATATTAACTGAGTAATCCACTATTTTGTAGAGGGGGTCAAAACCTGAGGGGTTTCAGCTGAGATTCGGAGCCAAATTACAGGGGGGTAAAAATTACTTCAGAAAGCCGGCAGCATCATTATATTATTTTTTACACAGCAATTGGTTGCTCTGTTAGTAAAATCTGTTGACTTTAGCAATCTTTGCTGCATTATATTCCAACGGTGATCATTCAAACATGGGGAAAAGGCACTTCTTTTGTTTTTTTCCTGACGTTTGCAAGCCTGTAACTCAAGAAGTCTTAAAGATATCTTAATATCCGTGTAGATTTGAGTTCTTAACAAACTTTTCTTATGGTATCGTAATTTCTAAGGCCCTATATGGTTCATTTTCAGAGATGTAGGGATTTCAGTGTGGCTCCTTGAGTAATTTGTTTTAATTATATGGCACTCGACATGGATGTTCTGTGCAATTTTTTTGATAGATGGAAAGAAGATACATTTATAGTTTCAAAATTATTTGTACTTTAGACATTCCACTTTAAATTCAATAAGTATCAGTGATCAACATTTGGTTTTTGACCACTGAAAATGTGTACAATTTACTCTTGGAGCCACATTTAGATTCTAATATCTATGGGACTGAACCATATAGAGCCTTAAAAAATGAAGATACAAAAAGAAAAGTTTGTTAATGCCCACAATCTAAAAGGGCATTAAGATTATGTTAGTACTTCTTGAGTTACAGGCCTACAAACCTAAGAAAAAAGCTTGAAAAGTGCTTTTTTCCATATTTTTGAATGGTCACCGTTGGCATATAATGCAACAAAGATGGCTAAAGTCAACAGATGTTACTAATAGAGCAACCAATCTCTGTGTGAAAATAATATAATGATGCTGCCAGCTTTCTGAAGCCATTTTTACCCCCCTGTAATTTGGCTCCAAATCTCAGGTGAAAATGCCATTTTGACCCCCCTCTACAAAATAGTGCATTACTCAGTTAATTTACACCCATGACATTTAATATTTTGGCTTTCATCGCTATTTATGTTTGTCTTTCTTGAGAAAAAATATTAACAAAATCAAAAATTAGAGCTGGGGAAGTTTCTGAAATGTGGTTGATTTAACATGGAATGATGCTGTATTCATGTATTTTTGTGCTCTGCTCCAGGCTTCACTCCTCCTGGAATGGATCGCTCGTCTCCGGAGAACAGTCCCGTACATGGATTGGTGCGGCAGGTGTCCATAACCACCGGAGCAAACATTCCCATCATCACAGAGCTCGGTGAGACTCATATTACACACACATTTAAGCACAAATTAATACTTTTATTCAGCAAGGGCGCATTAAATTGATCAAAAGTGACAGTAAAGACATTTATAATGTTACAAAATATTTCTATTTCAAATAAATGCTGTTCTTTTGAACTTTCTATTCATCCTGAAAAATAAAATGTATCACAGTTTCCACAAATATATTGTGCAGCACAACTGTTTTCAACATTGATAATAATCAGAAATGTTTCTTGAGCAGCAAAGCAGCATATTATACTGATTTCTGAAGATCATGTGACACTGAAGACTGGAGCAATGATGCAAAAAAATCAGCTTTGATCACAGGAATAAATTACAGTTTAACATATTCACATAGAAAACAGCTAGTTTAAAATTCAAATAATATTTCACAATATTACTGTTTTTTTCCCCCTCAAATAAATGCAGCCTTGGTGAACAGAAGAGACTTCTTTCAAAAACATTTTAAAAAACACTATAATAAGGTCCCATTAGTTAAAGCTGCAGTCCGTAACTTTTTTTGGTTAAAAATGATCCGAAATCAATATTTGAGCAAGTACATAACCAGCCAGTGTTCAAAACTATCGCCTTAGTTTAGCCCGATTCACAACGGTTAGCTTATAATAATGTTTTCTAATTTGAGTGGTAGGGTTAGGTTTTCATGGGGAATTCGAGCATGCTGCCGCGTCATTCGCACACAGCTGCAGTACCAGGTTTTCAAACAGAGATGGCGACAAAGAGGCAAAACTTACGGACTGCAGCTTTAACGTTAGTTAATTCAATATTTTTTACAGTATTTATTTATCTTTGTTAATGTTAGTGTTATTTTCATATCATTGAGCTACTATTATAGTTTTTAATCAATATTTTGAATTAGATTTATTTTTATATTTTAATTTTAAAATTTTTGTACATTTTTGTTTATTTAATTGTCTGTATAGTTTTTATTAAACTATTTAAATATTTTATTTAACTTAATTTGAATATTAAATATAAATATAATATATTTAAATATAAATCATAATAAACTAAATTAAAATGAGAAATGTTGCCTTGGCAACTAGATGAAAATAAGTTTGTTCGTTAATTATATGAAAATAAGCTTGTTCGTAAGTTTTGTTTCTTTTGATTTCAAGTTAAATCTTTTATTACTTGAAATAAAATTTTATGGTTTTAGTTTTAGTTAATTATAATAACTGACATTAGTTAATAAAAATACAACTGTTCATTGTTAATAGTTCATGTTAGCTCAGGCCAGTTAAATAATGTTAACAAATACTTTTGATTTGAATAGTTATTATTAATAAATGTTGAAATTAACGAAGATAAATGATTTACAATATTTTTATTGTTAGTTTAACTAATGCAGTTAACTAATGTTAACAAGTGGAACCTTATTGTAAAAAATCCTACTGACCTCAAAGCATTTGAGAGAAACGGCTGTTTTAGTAACAGTAGCTGAAAATCATCTTGAAGCTAGTTTCTGGATTTAGTTGCAAAGTGCAAAACAACTAATCGTTTGCAGCGGTGACTGGTGGTTTTGGTAACTAGTTGCTATGGTAACTGGTTGTTTTATGCTGCTAGCTAAAACAGACAAGTTGCTGCCCCTGGTTTCTCTGAGCCAGGACAAGAGCAGCGGGAACAACATCCCAATGATAACTGAGCTGGGTAAGAAGGGCTGACGGCGACTCGTTTCTCATCCTCTGGACTGTGTTCCTGTAGCTCTGTGGATGTTTCAGCTGTTCTTCTGTTCCTCTCTGGTGTTTTCCACTGTTGGCATGAACGATTCTGCAGCATGCTGTGAATCCCGTCTGCTTCTGTGTGGCGAGACACACGGCTAGTTCCTGTCAAACCGATCGAATCTGTCGTCTGTTCAGAAATGATCTGTCACTCCGTTGCGTGTTTCTGAGTGTCTCAGACAGGACACACAAAGGCTCAGGGTCCAAAAGGAACTTCCTGCCAAACAATCGACAACATTTCATGAAACATGATTTTTTCTGACCATGAAACTGCACTTTACATTGTTTTTATTTATTAATGTTTTTAAATAGTTTTTATTTTCGATTTTAATTTGAGTAATTTTGTTGTTTGTTTTGACGTTTTCTGGCCATAAATGATTTTTACTGAGCATGAAACTGCATTTTGCATAGTTTTTATTTTTAGATTTCAATGTAAATTTTAGTAAATCTGTTGTTTGTTTTTGTCAATTTTATTACTTTAAATATATATATATATATATATATATATATATATATATATATATATATATATATATATATATATATATATATATATATGTGTGAAAAACTTGTTGCATCTTTCCCAAAAAGACTCATGGCTGTATTAGATCAAAAGGGTGCTTCTACTAAATACTGAGCAAAGGGTCTGAATACTTAGGACCATGTGATATTTCAGTTTTTCTTTTTTAATAAATCTGCAAAAATGTCAACAATTCTGTGTTTTTCTGTCAATATGGGGTGCTGTGTGTACATTAATGAGGAAAAAAAATTAACTTAAATGATTTTAGCAAATGGCTGCAATTTAACAAAGAGTGAAAAATTTAAGGGGGTCTGAATACTTTCCGTACCCACTGTATATATATATAATAATATATAAAAAATAATAAACATATTTTATGCTTTTGTCATGTTTTATCAGGCTGACCCATTAATACATATCATCACATCATGTTTCTGCTTAAAGGTCTGAAGAAAAACTTCATCTAGATAAACTTTAAAATTCTTATTAAAGTTCTTATTAAATTCACCTTCAGCTGCTGCACTGGCATTTATTTGCCAAAGCCCCTCGTTTGGTGCTAAAGGTGTTCATTTTTGACCCTGTGTTGTCCTGTTATTTTCTGTGAACATTCTTTATTAAGACTTCTCATTTAGTGAAACACATTCCTAACAAACCGTGTGTGTGTGTGTGTGTGTGTGTGTCTGCAGTGAACGACTCAAACGTCCAGTTTCTGGACCAGGATGACGACGACGACCCCGACACCGAGCTGTACCTCACGCAGCCGTTCGCCTGTGGGACAGCGTTTGCCGTCAGCGTGCTGGATTCATTAATGAGTGCTGTAAGTCAGCGCAAACCATAGGCGGAAATCCCAGGGGGGTCGGGGGGGAACAGGATCCCCCCTATCTGAGGGTTGTCCCCCCTAAAAATATTGTTAAAAACCACACTGTGCATTGTAAATAACAATGTTTTATACTTTAAATATAATTGTGTAAGTAGTAAAACACCACAAACGGGGCAAAAACGCATTTTAAGTTTAGAAACATTTCGAGTCTCCCCCTCCCTTTGCTTGCTTTGCTCTAAATGCCTGCTTTCCTCTTTTACATCACCTACACACACACACAAGTCCGGTGAGAGAGAACAAAGTCAATAGTTGTGGAACTCCAGTAAGTAACGTTACCTGCTTGATGGAAAGGGTTGCCAGGTTTTCATAACAAAACCCGCCCTATTGCTACTCAAAACTAGCCCAAACTATCCACGTTTCGAAGGGGTCCCCCGGTAAAAATCACGTTCTGGGGGCTAAAATGCACGTTATTGACATTAAATTTAGTTGGATTATTTGTGTCCCCTTCATGTTTATTGTCCCCCCCATCTGCCGTCCCACGTCTGTAACGCTCCTCTCCGTCTCGCTCTCTCAGACCTACTTTAATGACAATATTCTGACTCTGATCCGGACGCTGGTGACCGGCGGAGCCACGCCGGAGCTGGAGGGTCTGCTGGCAGAGGAGAATGCGCTGCGTGGAGGATACAGCACACCGCAAACGCTGGCCAATCGAGACCGCTGCCGCGTCGCACAGCTAGCGCTTTACGACGGACCCTTCGCCGATCTGGGGGTGAGACTGACATCTGCTGCTGCTTCATTTTATTCAAGTTTAACCCTCTGGTGCTGGTCAAAAATGACAATTTCAGTAAAACATACTATATTTTAGTTTGATAGTGTTTTATTTAATATTTTGTATTTTAATTTAATTTATGGTACTGAGATTATATTTATGGAATAGTTATGATCCATTTATTATATTTATTAACCATTTTTTGATCTTAGACCTGAAAATAACATTTCCGACTTAAAAAAAAAAAACCTAAAACTAACTAAACTCCAACTTAAACCTGAAAATCTTGAATGCTTTGGAGCACAGATTTAAGGATCTAAAGAAGACACTTGGGAGATTATAAAAGTGAAACTAAAAAAAAAAGTTGTAGAAGTTTTTATTGTGAAAATGTTAAATTTGATATGAAATATATATTTTCCAAAACATGTTAAAACTGTGAGAAAATCTAAGCCATAAATCTAAACAAGTTGTGTTCCAAATTTGAGGTTGATATCGCGAAAAAGCTGCTTCATTTTATTCAAGTTTAACCCTCTGGTGCTGGTCAAAAATGACAATTTTTTTTATTTCAGTAAAACATACTATATTTTAGTTTGATAGTGTTTTATTTAATATTTTGTATTTTTAGGGGAATTTATGGTACTGAGATTATATTTATGGAATAGTTATGATCCATTTATTATATTTATTAACCATTTTTTGATCTTAGACCTGAAAATAACATTTCCGACTTAAAAAAAAAACCCATAAAACTAACTAAACTCCAACTTAAACCTGAAAATCTTGAATGCTTTGGAGCACAGATTTAAGGATCTAAAGAAGACACTTGGGAGATTATAAAAGTGAAACTAAAAAAAAAAGTTGTAGAAGTTTTTATTGTGAAAATGTTAAATTTGATATGAAATATATATTTTCCAAAACATGTTAAAACTGTGAGAAAATCTAAGCCATAAATCTAAACAAGTTGTGTTCCAAATTTGAGGTTGATATCGCGAAAAAAATGAGCTTTTAGTAAGATTTTGTTTGGGCGCAGTGCAAAATGTTTCCACTAAATGTAATTTGCTTTCCGTTCTTTTTGTGTGTGTGAGAGTGCGTGTCTCTGTGTGTGTGTGTGTGTGTGTGTGTGTCTCTGTGTCTCTGTGTGTGTGTGTGTGTCTCTGTGTGTGTGTGTGTGTGTATGTGTGTGTCTGTGTGTCTTGTGTGTGTGTGAGTGCGTGCGTGCGTCTGTGTGTGTGAGAGTGTGTGTATGTGTGTGTGAGAGTGTGTGTGTGTGTTCTCATAGCAAGTGGCAAGAACTTTAACCCACCATTAACCATCTGGTTCTTTTCGGCCATTTTTTTACTGAAAAATGTTACACTTTTTTTTTTTTTACATCATTGGAATGGTATGAAACATGTTAAATTTGTTTTGCATAAATTTGCTATGTGAACACACACACACACAAAAAATCTCATAGCAAGTGGCAAGAACTTTAACCCACCATTAACCATCTGGTTCTTTTCGGCCATTTTTTTACTGAAAAATGTTACACTTTTTTTTTTTTTACATCATTGGAATGGTATGAAACATGTTAAATTTGTTTTGCATAAATTTGCTATGTGAACACACACACACACAAAAAAAAATCAACATTATTTGAAAAGGTTAAATGGTCTTGAAAAAAGTCACAATTGTACTGTTCGCAGTCAAAAATGACCACACTGGAAATGAATTTCATCTAGTGGAAAACTTTGGTACTGCGCCCAAATAAAATCTTACTGAAAGCTCATTTTTTGCAATATCAACCCCAAATTTGGAACACAACTTCTTTAGATATATGGCTTGGATTTTCTCACAGTTAACATGTTTTGGAAAACATATATGTTTAATATAAAATGTAAAAAAAATTAAATAAAACAGGACTGCCGTGATGTTTGGAGGCCTGAGATTCAAATACTAATACTGTTTGAATCTATTATATTAAATATCTTTAAATCTGTACCACCATATAATATTTAGGTTTGTTTGTGTTTCCAGGATGGGGGCGGTTATGGTGATTTATTCTGTAAAGCACTGAAGACGTACAACATGTTGTGTTTTGGAATCTACCGATTAAGAGACGCACATCTGGGAGCACCCAGCCAGTGCACCAAGCGGTGAGTGAACCAGCTTTACTAGCTGTACTAGATTAGTTTTAGCTCCTATGGGACTAAGTTTGGGGTCGGTGTGATTTTTTTCATGTTTTTGACTTTTTGCTTCTGCTCACAAAAACTGTGCGTGCGTCTGTGTGTGTGAGTGCGTGAGTGCGTGCGTCTGTGTGTGTGAGAGTGTGTGTATGTGTGTGTGAGAGTGTGTGTGTGTGTTCTCATAGCAAGTGGCAAGAACTTTAACCCACCATTAACCATCTGGTTCTTTTCAGCCATTTTTTTACTGAAAAATGTTACACTTTTTTTTTTTTTACATCATTGGAATGGTATGAAACATGTTAAATTTGTTTTGCATAAATTTGCTATGTGAACACACACACACACACAAAAAATCAACATTATTTGAAAAGGTTAAATGGTCTTGAAAAAAAAGTCACAATTGTACTGTTCGCAGTCAAAAATGACCACACTGGAAATGAATTTCATCTAGTGGAAAACCTTGGTACTGCGCCCAAATAAAATCTTACTGAAAGCTCATTTTTTGCAATATCAACCCCAAATTTGGAACACAACTTCTTTAGATATATGGCTTGGATTTTCTCACAGTTAACATGTTTTGGAAAACATATATGTTTAATATAAAATGTAAAATAAATTAAATAAAACGGGACTGCCGTGATGTTTGGAGGCCTGAGATTCAAATACTAATACTGTTTGAATCTATTATATTAAATATCTTTAAATCTGTACCACCATATAATATTTAGGTTTGTTTGTGTTTCCAGGATGGGGGCTGTTATGGTGATTTATTCTGTAAAGCACTGAAGACGTACAACATGTTGTGTTTTGGAATCTACCGATTAAGAGACGCACATCTGGGAGCACCCAGCCAGTGCACCAAGCGGTGAGTGAACCAGCTTTACTAGCTGTACTAGATTAGTTTTAGCTCCTATGGGACTAAGTTTGGGGTCGGTGTGATTTTTTTCATGTTTTTGACTTTTTGCTTCTGCTCACAAAAACTGTATGTATTTGATCAAAAGTACAGTAAAATTGTGAAATATTATTACAATTTAAAACAGCTGTTTATGTATTTGATCAAAAGTACAGTAAAATTGTGAAATATTATTACAATTTAAAACCGCTGTTTTCTATGTGAATCTGTGTTAAACTGTAATGTATTTCTGTGATGCGCAGCTGTATTTTCAGCATCATTCCTCCAGTCTTCAGTGTCACATGATCTTCAGAAATCACTATAATATGCTGATCTGCTGCTCGAGAAACATTTCTGATTATTATCAATGTTGGAAACAGTCGTGCTGCACAATATTTTTGTGGAATCCGTAATGCATTTAATTTTTAAGGATTCACAGATGAACAGAAAGTTCAAAAGAACAGCATTTATTTGAAATATAATTTTTAAAATGATGTAAAACAAACATTTAATGCATTTTTTTTTAGAATAGAGAAAAACCTGTATAATTCAGTCAATTGCAAGTATATAAAATTAATGAACAATACATTCTCAAAATATACAAAATTAATCAAATATGAAGGTCATGATGGATAAAGTGTATCTAATAACCAAAGTTTTTAGTTATTACATTAAAAAATTAAGTCAATAAAAAATATTAAATATACAGTTATCAGTATTAAAAAATAATATTACATTTTCTGATCATATAAATTGCCGTGAAAATTTAAACAAACTCGAATATTTAAAAATGTAAATACTTGAATGCTGTATTAATTTCTTTATACATGTGTGCGTGTGTGTGTGTATATATATATATATAGCAACACTAATTGAGCTTTTCAGTAGATTGTTTGTAACTTTGTTGTTTCCATGTTCATGTTAAATGAAACTATTGGCAAATATTTTCTCACAGTGGTGTGGATGTTTGTTTCTCTCGTGACAGATACGTGATCACGAACCCTCCCTACAACTTCGAGCTGGTGCCTACAGATCTGATCTTCTGCCTGATGCAATTCGACCACAACGCCGGCCAGACGCGCACCAACCTGTCCTCCCACTCCACCTTCTGAGAATAGAGAAAAACCTGTATAATTCAGTCAATTGCAGGTATATAAAATTAATGAACAATACATGCTCAAAATATACAAAATTAATCAAATATGAAGGTCACGATGGATAAAGTGTACATATTTCAGTTGACGTTTTGCATTTTTAGTTATTACATAAAAAAATTAAGTCAATAAAAAATGATCAGTATTAAAAAATCATATTACATTTTCTGATCATATAAATTGCAGTGAAAATTTAAACAAACTTGAATATTTAAAAATGTAAATACTTGAATGCTGTATTAATTTCTTTATACATGTGTGTGCGTGTGTGTGTGTATATATATATATAGCAACACTAATTGAGCTTTTCAGTAGATTGTTTGTAACTTTGTTGTTTCCATGTTCATGTTAAATGAAACTATTGGCAAATATTTTCTCACAGTGGTGTGGATGTTTGTTTCTCTCGTGACAGATACGTGATCACGAACCCTCCCTACAACTTCGAGCTGGTGCCTACAGATCTGATCTTCTGCCTGATGCAATTCGACCACAACGCCGGCCAGACGCGCACCAACCTGTCCTCCCACTCCACCTTCTGTCCCAGCAAGAAGAGCCCATCCGCGCACTCCATCCCCTCATCCGCCCGGCCGGGCCGCAGCCGGAGCCGCGACCTGCGCGACAAACAGAAGTACGTTCCTCTGTAAGCGTCTGTGGCGTTGAGCTGTGCCTGTGTGCACACGTGTGTGTGTGTGACGCCTGACGCCACGGACTCATCCTTACGCTTCGGTATCACAAACGCAAATCCCGGACTTTATTTTTTTACACGTATCGAATGTTTGCCTCGTACATCATCTTTAACATACCAGAAGTTACATCTGTATAAAGCACCGGCCAGCGTTTACACGACAAACCATGGTTTTGTTGAGGATCAGTACGTCTTACACGGGTAACACTGTGTTGGGTTAATGAATCAGTTTTACCATTTTGCACTTTAACTGCACTTTAATCCTACAGTTTGACAACAGCGACCTGACGAACGCGCGTGTGCTTCATCATCGCATCACGCCTCTGTGCTTCTACATCCTGATATTCCTGATATAACACGGCTGCTGTCTCATGTTACCCACCTACAGTGGCTCCAAACGTCTGACGGCTTGCATTTTTAGTTAATAAAAAATACATTAAATTATTACTAGTTAATACATTTACATTTAAATATTCAAATGTAAACATTAAATTAATAATGTTAACAAAAACATGCATTTTTTTGTTGTTGAAGTTTTGGATTTATGCATTTTTTTTATTGCAGTGGAAATTAATTTTTTGCAAGTGTTTAGATTCACAACTCAAATGATGTAAAACAAACATTTTGTGGATTTTAGGAAGAGAGAAAAATCTGTACAATTCAATCAATTCCAGATACATAAAATAAATAAGCACTACATAGTAAAAATATACAAAATACAAAACAAATGGAGCAACTATAAAGGACATAATGGAAAAAGTGTACATATTTTAATTGATGTTTTGCATTTTTAGTTCATAAAAAGTCAATACAAATATTATTAAATTAATAAATATTACATTTCCTGATCATATCAATTGCAGTGAAAATTTAAATAAACTTGAATTTGTGATTTTTTTTTTTAAATTGCACTTGAAATTAATTTTTTGCAACAGTTTAGATTCAGAACTCAAATGATGTAAAACGAACATTTCATGGATTTTAGGAATAGAGAAAAATACGTATAATTAATTCAATTACAAAACATAAAATAAATGCACTAGAAATATACAAAATACAAAACAAATGCACCAAATATAAAGGACATGATGGATAAAGTACTGTACATATTTGATTTATTTACATTTGCATTTTTAGTTAATCAAATATTAAAATATTACAAGTCAATAAAAATATGAAATTAATAATATTAATAAATATTACATTTTCTAATCATATAAATTTCAGTGAAAATTTAAATAAACTTGAATGTATTTTTATTCACATTTTTTACTCTGTAATTTATTTTTTAACAATTTAGATTCACAACTCAAATGATGGATGGATTCTTGAAATGGATAAAAAATCTGTATAATTCAATCAATTGTTGATACATAAATAAATGAGCAATGAATACTCAAGATATACAAAATTGAAAACAAATGCACCAAATATAAAGAGCATGATGGATAAAGTGTATGTATTTTAATTGAACAAAATCAGTTTCCGGGCAATGTCACAAAACATTTGATTAGTGAGCTTTTTTACAAAAATCGAAAATCATGACATTTTATTTAAATTTTTGCAAAAAAAAGTAAAAATGTTCAATGTTTCCGCAGACATTTGGACCCACTGTACTTACACATCTTTATATATGTGCTCATAAAGAATGTTAGTATTTTTCAAATGTTTTAATTTTCCATTCACTGCCTTCTTGAGACGACAGATGACCGAATGAGAGTTTGATCACATCAAACCCAAACTGAAGTGAAGCGAATGCAAACATCAGAAACATCCCGCTGAAGCATTATTCCTCAGTGCTCATGCTGGTTTAATGGGATGTTTGCAGCTGTCGCTCAGACGTTTCTGTGCTTCAAAAGAGTCATTTGACAAATGTTTTATCTTCCATTCAAAATACTTTCCATATTTCTAAGGCTGTTAAACTCTTTTGGACTGAACTCGATGTCCTGTTTGGTTGGTACAACTCACTTAATATATGAAAATGTTGCGATGCTGCAAGAATAAAGCTGTTTGATGAGCATTTGTAAAGAAGCAAGCAGGACGTTTGATTGCTTTCTATGTTTAATTCACGTTCGTTGCTATAGTAAGACGCTTACACCAAAGTTTTCATTCTCTAAATATCAAGTGTAAGAGATTTTTCTTATATGATTCTAATGAACTAGTGTATGCGATATCTTAAACATAATAAAAGTATTTTTTTTCTGTATTGATGTGAAGTCTTTGCTTTTAAAATACTTAGAGTATCTGCTTTTCACCTCATTTTCACTGATGATCTTTATTATTTAAATGTTTTTATTTTGATTGTATTATCATTTATAATTATTATCATTTTATAAATTGATAAATTATTTTCCAAACTTAAATACAAATGCATTTAACACATGCATATATATATATATATATAATTTTTTTTTATAAATACATTTTTAAACCTAAAGTACATCTACATATGTAAAAACTTGCATATATATTTTTTTATTTGATAATCTTTTAATTTGTTTGTATTTAGTTATTTTAATAATTTAATTAAAATTATTTTCAATTATTACATTTTTTTTTATAAATTGATAACTATTTTTTAAAACTAAGTTCAAATACATTTGCAAATAATTGCATTTTTAAAATTGTATAATTTAATTTTAGTTTGTATTTTATTATTTTAATAATTTAATGTAATTATAATTATTTAATAATTTAATGATTTTTGTAAATAAATTGATAACTAATTTTTTAAAACTTAAGTACAAATGCATTTCATTTTATTCTTTTTAAATTTGAGATTTTATTATTTTAATTGTAATGCTAAATATTTTTTGTAAATTGCTAAATTGTAATCTTATGCACAGATATAAATAAATATATACAGTGGGGCAAAAAAGTATTTAGTCAGCCACCAATTGTGCAAGTTCTCCCACTTAAAAAGATGAGAGAGGCCTGTAATCTTCATCATAGGTATACCTCAACTACAAAGCAAACACACCAACACACACACAGCCAATCAGATCAATCAGTTCAAATCCACCAGCAACATCATCCAGCCAATCAGAGAAGTGGAGGAGGAGCCTTGAGACGACGTCATCCACACACAGACTGAATCCTGGCTGGAAATCAATCATAAACAACGTCAGAGATGGAGTTCAGTGGTTCTCAACTGGTTTTGCTGCTGGAGATCAAATGGTGACCCAACACTGTTTATCATAAAGATGAAATTCTGATGGTTTCATGATTCTAGCAGCCAGTAATTTGCACAAAGCTCATTGTGGTCAATCTGATTTTTGCTGCAAGTGAACCCGTTTTGAATGTCTTGGATGTACACAAAAACATTTCCACTTCAACTTAAAGACTTAAAATCAGTTGCCTTAATCTCATATAACCTCACAAATGAAATTTAATTACAATTAGTTCAATTATTTTGATTGATGAGCCATTGCATCCCATAAAAGGAATTTATTTAGTTTGAAAACTTTTCAGAGAAATATTGTTTTATTAGAAATAGATATGTAGGTTTCATAAAGTTTTTGAGCAATCATGAGTTATAAAGCCAAAGAAATTTAAATTAAATTTATTCCAGTTGGGTTAATACTGGAAATTCTCAGATTATATGTTCTTATAAATTTCATACAATGATATATTCAGATGACTTCTAATCAATATTGAAAACAATATATTTTGCTTTATTTTTTTGGTTCATGAGTAATTTTAAATTTCAAAGAATTTTTTTTATTGATCAAAAAGGGTTAAATGCATGGTAATGTTGTTGAGCAGATCCAATATGGTTTTAGATGAAAAATATTAAGTTTTGACTTTTTTTATAAAGCAACGAATATATATATATATATATATATATATATTTTTTTTTTTATTCATCGTTGAGAGCATCACATAAAATCTGTCTATATTGGATCGTGTGCATTTCATTACCTGCATCAAGCATTGTTGTTCCTTACCGTCCATGACTTGAAAAACACATGTACAATACATTTATGGATCGTGACCAGTTGAGAACCACTGGTTTTGGAAATAAGTATCAGAATCGCTAAATAGAGCGTTATAAATATAGAAGAGATGAGCGTAGAATATACTGCACTGTAGATGACAGAAATCTCCTCTAACTGAGCTAAATATGTATGAAGAAGTTTTCCTAGACATTCGCAGGCACATCATTGGATTGACATCACTCTGCACTCACGCAACAGCATACAGTTTTCATTATCGGTGAGAAATCAGCCAAAGAGCATCAGTGTTTGATCTGGTTAAACGCCGCAGGTTGCACAGAGCGGGCGCAGGTCCTCCCTCGGTCCGGCTCGGGATTGGCGATAGAATCCGAAACCAATCCACATGCTGGACAAATTAAATCTAGAAAAAAAACTATGATTATAGCTGGATCAAATAGCAGCTTCGCCGTGTTCTCGTACCAATGATTATGCACTGTAGCAATAAATATGCTGTTTCACATGAGATTTGTCTTGATAACCGTGCATTTGATTGGGTTTTACCTCAGTAATGCATTGTGAGGTTTAATCAGCTTCATGTTAGTAAGATGAGGATGGAGGTTCAAGTTCATGGCCTGTATAATCTTCAACGTCTTTTTGCGAACAATGAAACGCATTCCACAGCTTGTGCTGATAGATTTGCTCTGCAGTGTTTCTTCAGCTCTTTGCTTTCAATCTGAGCTTTTTACTGTTAATAACCAAGCGCTGCAAATCATTTTATATGCATTTATTTGTTGCCTTGAGCTTCTGTTCACTTCTTCAGTCATTCCAGTGTTGCATATTAAACTCTGATCAGGTTAAACGTGTGCTTGATTTATATATGCGTCACATGAGCCTTAACAGAGCTGATCTGAGATCAGCAGAGCCGGACTCGAGGAAGGACCCGCAAAAGACCCGCTCCAGCGAAAAGTGGCCCTAAAATCAACAACAATAACAAAAATCATGCAACAAAGTTCAATATTTAAAGACTGGATGACTGAAAAGTGGCATGAATTTGTGCAAGGTGTTTGATTAGTATGTATAATTTTAGTGATTCACACAAGCAGACGTATTTAAATGAAAATGTCTTAAGCATTAAGTGTGAATCTTGCGGTTTAATATGCTGAATGAAGAGAGAAAGATGAACATCTTGTGTGCTGCTGGAGTATTTAACATGATATACATGGCAACGCAGATATAAATACAATATATTATAATGTACAAAAGGCTGTAATTAAAGTGTACATGGATTTTATTTTGTATTTTCACAGAATAAATATGGATGTATTAGTGTTGGTAACTGTGTAGTTATTTGACTATTTTATTCATCTACAGACAGTGTCTGTACAAACCTGGAGTGAGGAGCTACAGGTGAAATAAATGACCTGTAAATTGTGCACTGTAAAAATAAATAAATAAATATTAAGTGATATTAAAAAACATATTCAATTTCATAATAATTCAAATAAATACAAATAATTATAACAAATATCAAGTGA